TCACGAGACTTATTTGATAGAAATTCCATAGGTATTTCTGATTTATTTTTTCGTAATGTTCCTATAAGAGTAAGATTCTTCGTTTGAAGATTTTTCGCCAATGGAACACTTGTAAAGAAATTATCCATTGTAACGTTTCTGTTTGAATCATAAAATGACTTGAGCAATTCTAAAACTACACTTTCGCCTATGTGTTTTTGTTTTTCTTGACCTGGTTGTCGTCCAATGTAAGGAAATGCATTCAATACATAATACGATTCTGCATCAACACATAGCCAGAACTTTAATCCGTATTTGTCAGGCTTCTTAGGGATAAATTGACGAAATGGACGTTTTCCCCGATATCCTAATATTTGTTCATCGATGGCTAGATCAAGTCCTGGTGTATAACAGGTTTTTAATTTATCTTGAAAATCTGACCAAATTTCACGAATTGCTGCAAATTTATCTGCTTGTTTTCTCTCTTCTCTTGTTCTTTTATCATCAAATCTTAGACACGACATAATTTTGTCAAAACGGCTTTTTGAAATAGTAGCTTTGAATATTGGAGATTCCAAAGGACTTGTTCTCCATAAGGATCGTAAATTTCCTTTTGATCTTCCTAATAAACCAGCAAGCAATAATAGCCCAATGGAAGCTTTCAATTCCATCATTGTTATTTCTTCTTTTTCATCTAATCCGGTGTTTCGATCATATTCCATATTTGAATAGATCAAAATTTTCTGCATGATTTTTTCCGATATAAGACAAATGAATGCGTCTTCAATAGATGCAACATTTTCAGTAGACTTGGTTGGTCCAGATTTCTCGATATTATCACTGAAAGATTTTATTTTTGACGAAGTAGACGGAATTGAAGACCAGATCATCCCGGACTTGGAAGTATATCAGCTTTTTCGTGTAGAATCTTCGGTTAATTTAAGATCTTCTAAATCAATTTCATCATCAGCGTCTGATGTTTGACTTTCATCATTTTCTGTTTCTGAACCACTTTGTTCGTTGTTAAAATCGGCAGATTCGCTATCCTCTTCAATCCAATTGTTCATGATCGTTTTTTATAATACAAAAAGAAATCTTAATCTAGAAAATAAAAAAAATGAAGAGATACTAGATGATAGATGAATATCTTCGATCCAAAATCTAATCGAATGAATCATATATCATCCTAATTGGATAGTCCAAAACCCAATCAATAAATACTTCTAAGTAGATTGGAGATAAATATACAGTTAAAATGGTGCATGAGTCTTGAATTTTAATTGAAAATTTAACTTGTTCTCTTGTCTAGTTTTATGTTAAATACTGATGAAATTGTAATTAATTGTATTGAAGGCTTGTAGTGAGATGGAATAGGATAAATCAGTTTCATTTTAGACTACGCAACAGCTATCTATTCATAATAGATGATAAATGATTCCTTAAACCCGAAATTACCAAAATATTATAGTGTATTTCCAAATTTTTATGTCTGGGTCAGAAATGACCCATGTTGGGCGTACTAGGGTTAATAATGAACTATTAATAATTGTTCCTGATAAAGTCAGTACGTCATTGATAGTGCGTCCGAGTATGGTCTTCTCATGAAATGACTTTAGTTACACATAATCGATCATGCGAAATGCTTTGCACTATACTTTTAAAATATGAACAGTGTCCACTATTTATCCAGTTTTGATTCAAGCATTTTCGATCATCAGGCTTCCAAAAACTTTTTAGTAGTTATGTTATTTACATTCAAATTGCTATCAATGAACGATAATTCACCTTCAAAATGATGGTCTCATTCAGAAGCTGCAGTAACCAATGGGGAATCGATCAATACACACTGCTACTACATGCTCATACATATTAGATGAGGCATGATCTCAGAGAATAGTAAATTATATCATTGAACGATGTTCAATGTTTATGATTTTTTCGTCAGTGTCTAGAGAGAGGTCTCAAATGTGTTTTTACATTTTCATATATACATGTCATTCAGCAGAGCTTATCGTATCTATAGATGCAGGACTGTATGAACTATACATACGTAAGAATACTATGCATTATTTATTAGCTTTTGTGGACTAGGTCAGTTTTATCTACTACTATTAATATTTTTTTCTTTTTCGATGTAATTATTAAAAAAAAGACTTGTTTGACTTTTTATTTTTACTAAAAAAAAAAAGATTTTTTAAAATAAAACAATAATTTTTTTTAACGCTGTCTTTTTCCAATATATCCAAGTTGAAGGCCCAGATGTACTTTTTTTTTAATAAGTTCCTAGAAAAAAAAAGAAAAATAATAAACTGAGTATAAGAATTCCAGTGTTCATGTCACTAATCGAAAGAAATAAGAGGTTAAAAAAAGGAAACTCAAATAACATTAAAAAAACACGTTTTTGATTTGAACTATTTAGCTAATGTTTGAAGATTTAGTCTTACTTTTTGAGCAGCTTCAAGAAACGTATAACCAAGTTCTTTTTGGTCTATATCAATTGAAACACATTTAACAAAACGTGTTTCTTGTTGGAAATAATTATATATTTGTATGTAAATTGATTTCCACATCGTAACATTTGATAATCATTTAAGAGCCCATTTAAAACATACCCAGGTGGATCATTCCGGCCGTCGGAAACGGCGTCGTATCCGGCCTGAAACGACTATAAAACGGCGAATTACTGCAGTAATTTTGGCCTTATTTCGCCGTAATCCATCATACCGTATTACGACCACCGTCTATCGCTAGAAAACGGCGGTCGTTTTTTTCCGGTTTTGCTTCCGTAATCTGGTATGACGGATTACGGTGCCATTTATCGACGTTTTACATCGTTAATCGCCGTTTTATAGCCATTTCAGGCCGTTTACGACGCCGTTTTATTGGACCTGGGTATTGCTTCACCAAATTGTCCTGGTGGTATATGTATAAATAAAATCAGTTTGTTACGATGTGGATTATATTCAATTTTTAAAATATTTTTAACTTTACTTAAAAGTTCAATTTGACGATCAGTAAGACACATACCTAAAAAAAAACAATTTAGCTTATTTTTTTAAATAAAATAATTTTTTTTCATCGGATGGAATTTCTGTATCAATAACAAAAATACTATTTAAATTTGTTGTTAATAATTGATTTGTTACTCTTGATGTATATGTTACACATGTTTTAACTTCGATTTCATTTAGCCATGGCATTGGTTTCAGTTGTTGGGTGTGGGTGTGGGCGTGGACGTTTGTATAACTCTTCTATTAACCCACACCTACACCTATACCAGCACCCACACTCACACCCACACACCCACCCACACCCTGGTACACTGTAAAAAAAAAGCGTAGAATAATAAACCCTAAAAAGGTTTGGGAAATTGCAACGTAGCCTAAACCCTTTTTTGATCTCACACAAGATTTTTATAAACCCTTTCCTAAACCCTTTAAAAAGGGTTTAGGAAAAGGTTTACTATCCTCATAAACCCTTAAAGGGTTTAGGCTACGTTGCATTTTCCCAAACCCTTATAAGGGTTTATTATTGTCATAAACCCTTTCATATACCCTTCTGAAGAGTTTATGAAAGGGTTTATGATAATAATATACCCTTTCATATACCCTTGTGAAAGGTTTATGAGATGGTTTACGAGAATGATATACCATTTCCTAAACTCTTTAACAAAGGTTTGGGAGATCATTCCTATACACTAAAACGGTTTATGAAAGGGTTTAGAAGATCATTTCTATACTCTAAAAGGGTTTATGAAAGGGTTTAGGAGATCCATCCTGTACTCTAAAAGAGTTTATGAGAAGGTTTAGTGAATCTCTCATATACTCTAAAAGTAGTTAGCAGATCGACCCTATATCCTAAAAAGGGTCGAGGACATGTATCGTATACCATAATAGGATTTAGTAGACCGATCCTATATCCTAAAAGTGGTCCAGGAGATTAATCCTATATCATTAAATAATTTAGAAGATCAATCCTGTAGTCGAAAAAGCTTTAGAAGATCTATCCTATATGGGATAGATATCCGAAAGCCTTTTACCGTATGGAATCGATCCTCTAAATCATTTAATGGTATAGGATCAATCTCCTGAACCACTTTTAGGATATAGGATCGATCTACTAAATCGTTTTACGGTATAGGATACATGTCCTCAACCCTTTTTAGGGTATAGGGTCGATCTGCTAACTACTTTTAGGGTATATGAGAGATTTCCTAAACCTTTTCATAAACCAGGTCTTTTGAACAGGCTAAAAGCGACCGGCGGTGTTCTCTACTGCATTGCTTATGTAATATAATATTAGTTATTTAATAAAAGTGATACCTATTATTTGCCTCGATCTTGTCGATAATCTAAATAAAGAAAAAAATAATAAATTTAATAAAATTCATGCCCACCATTTCGTTCGATGTTGTCGTGGATCTGAAAAAAGAAAAAAAAGCTCGCTTAATAAAATTCATACTTACTATTTAATTGGATATTGTCGTCGATCTAAGTAAAAAAAATTTATGAATAAAGTTTATCCTTACTATTTTTCCGATGTCCGCTTGGATCTAAATAAAGAGAAAAAATTTATTTGATAAAATTTACACTTATTATTTCGCTCGATGTTGTCGTAGATCTAAAAAAAAGAAAAAAAAATTATTCAGTAAAATTTATACTTAGCAGTCCCTTCCGATGTTGCCGTGAATCTAAAAAAAGAGAAAAAAATTTGTTTGATAAAATTTATACTTATTATTTCGCTCGATGTTGTCGTGAATCTAAAGAAAAAAAAGCATTTTATATAATGAAAATTATGCTTACTATTTCATTTGAT